AAAAAAAATCATGCACCAATTTAGGTCAGTCACATAAGGGCGGACACACTGTCCCTAGTGCCCTAACCCTTCCCCACTCGGGGTCTCTAGGGTCTCACCTTGAGGAACCGTGAGAGACACATCAGAGCCCTGGGCGCTGTCATCACCTAGGGGAGAACAAACAGGACGTGGTCAGAGCCCACAGAAGAAGAGACTAGAGGAGGAGCTATGGGGTGGGTGAGCTCCCCGTCGAATTCCGTCTACACTATCTCAGGGTCTCAGGGATCACTCCCTCCAAACTTACGTGCAGCGTGAGAGTAGCCTGGTCCTTTTCCTCCTGTGGGAAGAAAATATCATGTCTGAGGCCAGAACAGGGCTGGGCCATGAGATCCTAGGGGAAGCTCCCAGTCCTGGTCCTAAATGAAGTTTGCAGAGTTGTGACTGAAGACCCAGGACAGGATCAAGAAACATGAAGGACAAGGTGTGGGGTCACTGGACCACCTGACTTGCTGGAGGTCTGTCCTCAGCAGGGCCCTTTCTCTGTCCTGTGACTGCTGGGAATCAGGTCCCCATCACCAGAGTTACCAAGATGAAAATGTGTCCTTCATTTTCACAAATCTTTGCTACACAGTGAGCGTTAGTAATCAGCCCCAGAGGGGGCAAGTCCATGCATGAGGATGGTACTTCCCAGTAACAAGGCAGGACAGTCTCCTACCTAGGAAACCCCCCAGAGGGACAAGAAAACTCAGATCTCCGCACTCCATTCCCTACCTGAGCGCTTCTTTCTCCAGATCACAGCTCCAGTCATGGCCACAGTGACCGCAAGGAGAACCACACCAGCAATGATCCAGATGATGGGGATGGTGGGCTGAGGCGGCTCTGGAAAGGGAAGGGAGGGTGAGGGTCCCAGAGCTCTGGCAAGAGTCCTGACCCTGCTGAAATTCTCCAGAAGGCCTTCTGCTTTCCCTGAGTAGAGGCTGTACCCCAAACCCTCCTTACGCCATCTCAAGGTGAGGGGCTCGGGCAGCCCCTCATGCTGCACATGGCACGTGTATCTCTGCTCCTGTCCAGAAGGCACCACCACAGCCGCCCACTTCTGGAAGGTCCCATCCCCTGCAGGCCTGCTCTCCACAAGCTCTGTGTCCTGGGTCAGGTCCTCCCCATTGTGGTGCCAGGTCAGGGTGATCTCCGCAGGGTAGAAGCCCAGGGCCCAGCACCTCAGGGTGACCCTTTGGTCAGAGATGGGGTGGTGCGTCACGTGTGCGTTGGGGGGTTCTGAAGAAGAATCAGAAAATCCACACTTGGGACCTTTATGGGCCACTGAAACGGCATTCATGTGAGCATCCTGAGGTGGACCCAGCCATTGGTTTGGATGGAAGAACCACAAAGCCCAGTTAACAAACTAGCCTTTGGGATCTCCTAACCCTGGAAAGTTCTAGATTCAGGAAGACAGTCAAGGAAAGGAGGCTGCAGATCTAAGTGAGAGAACACACTAATGGTCCTGACTGTGGCGAAGGGTGAATGAGTCAGAAAACCCGGAGTCAGAACTCCAGCGATGTTGTCATTGGAGAACAAGGCCTTGGGAGGGAAAGTCATGGTTCCCAAGGTGGCTGCCAGGGTTAAAGGGAACCACTGATGGGTTATTTCAGGGACGCTCTCCACCTGCCCCTGGGAGAGACTGGGTTCCCCCACTGCCCCTTAGCGAGAAGAGGCCCTCTGAGTGAGGCCCTCTCTAGTAGGAACAGGTACACTCGGGCGGATCTCCGTCTCCCCACCCGTGGGAGGGGCGGTGTTCTAACACCGAGTCCATTTTCCCTTCCTGGTGGGAAGCCAGCCCCAGCGGAGGGGAGATCGGGGAGGCCCCGCGGCCC